CCTCTGGCTGCCTTTAATACTTTGTCCTTGTCTTTGATCTTTGCCATTTTAATTATTATGTGTCTTGGTGTTGCCCTCCTTGGATCCCTTGTCATGGGAGTTCTGTGTACCTCTGTGGTCTCAGAGGCCATTTCGTCCCCTAGTTTGGGGAAGTTTTCAGCAATTATTTCTTCAAAGACACTTTCTATCCCTTTTTCTCTCTCTTCTTCTTCTGGTACTCCTATAATGCGGATATTGTTCCTTTTGGATTGGTCACACAGTTCTCTTAAAATTCTTTCATTCCTGGAGATCCTTTTATCTCTGTCTGCATCAGCTTCTCTGTGTTCCTGTTCTCTGTTTTCTAGTCCGTTAATGGTCTCTTGCATCTCGTCCATTCTGTTTTGAAGTCCTTCCAGAGCTTGTTTTATTTCTGTATTCTCCCTCCTTAGTTATTTCTCTGCAAGTCCATCAGCATGGTTATGACTTTTGTTTTGAATTCTTTTTCAGGAAGACTGGTTAAATCTATCTCCCCAGGTTCCTTCTCAGGGGAAGATGTAGAAGATGTTGAAGTTGTCTGGGTTAGTCTTGTCTGCATCAATTTTTTTTTTCCTTTTCATGTTGATAGGTGCAATGGTGAGCTATTGACTCATCTGTTAGATGGGAGAGCCAAGAGTTTCCACTTGCTCCTGGCCTTTCTTTACTGCGATAACTGTGACCCCTAGTGGCTTGTGTTGGGCAATTGCATGTAGACTGGGTCTCTGTATCTTGCCCAGCCCGTATGGAGGAAGCTTCCTTGCTGTGGGCATGGCCAGCCTCAGGCTGTTGCTCTGCTAGGGCGGGGCCCCGGAGGGGTAATGGACAGGGGGCTGTTTGGTTGTTTACCTCTGTGAGGGGTCTCAGAGCTGTTTCCCAGGGGGTTAGTGCGCCCGGAGTTTCCTGGAATTTCCAGCTGCTGGACTGTGACCCGGGATGCATCCGTCCAGTGGTGGGGTCCCTGTCCCTTTAAGACTTTCAAAAAGCACTCGCTTTTCTTTGTCACAGGGGCGCCTGCTTTGGGACCCGCTTAAAGGTCTTACTGTCCTGTTTCCCTAGTTTCCAGCACCCCACGCACACATTATGTATGCGCTCTGGTGGGGATGGCTGGGGCTGGGCGTTTAGCAGTCCTGGGCTCCCTCTCCCTCTCCCTCCCTGATCCGACTCCTCTCCTCCCTCCGGGAGCTGGGGTGAGGGGCCTCAGGTCCCGCCGGGCTGCGGCTTGTATCTTACCCCTTTTACCAGGCGCTGGGTTCTCGCAGGTGTGGATGTAGTCTGGCTGTTGTCCTGTGTCTTCTGGTCTCTCTTTTAGGATTAGTTGTATTTGTTGTATTTTTAAAAATATATATGTTTTTGGGAGGAGATTCCCACTGTCCTACTCACGCCACCATCTTGGCTCTGCCTTTTGGATGTAGACTTTTAAAAAGCATTAAACAAACACAATTACAAATTGTGGTAAGTGGTATAAAGCAATGAATGGGGTGCTGTAGTAGAAAATGATAAGAGTAAACCATTTAGATTGGGTGGTGAAGGGACTTCCTGATGCAATATTAAAATGCAGACTTTAAAAGGATTAGAAGTCCTTTGCCATGCAAAAAGATAGGTGAATAGTATTTCAGTTATAGGAGCAATATGTATTTCATTTATAGGAGCAGTATATTTGAAAGCTTAGCAGCAGGAATGAGCTTGATGAGTTAGTAAACTTGAAAGACTCTTGTAGCTGGAATGCTCTGAGGGAGGGAGAGAGTGCCCTGGAGTAAGGCTGATAAGTTGAACAGAGACCAGCTGAATCAGGGCCATGTACATCATGTTTAAGAGTTTGATTTTATTCTGAGTGTTTTGGAGAATACCTGAGAGGGTCTAAGCTGGGAAATGACATGGTCCCTTTTACGTTTTAAAAAAGATTGTTCTGACTACAATATGTAGAACAGATAGGAAAAGGTTAGAAGAAAGTCAGACAGCACTTAAGCAGGAAGATATTCAGTGTCTAGAGCCAGAGCTGGCTTGGGTTAAGATAGAGCCACTGGAACAAGGAAGTAGATTTGAGGAATGTATTTGAGGTAGGGGTGTCAGGATTTGATGGTTGGATGTGGAATATAACCAAGAGGAGGGTGTCAGGAATGATTCCGAGGTTTCCAGTGTGAGCAAACTCAGTGCCACCTGTTGAGAGTATGTGCATGACAGTAACTGTGTAAGTAAGAGAAGAAGCATGAGAGAGACTATATATGAGAATAAATGATCTGGAGTTCACATGAGTGGTCTGGGTTGGAGATACACATTGGCAGTTGTTGCATATAGGGGATCTTGAGAGCAGTGGGAATGAGGAGAGAGGAAGAGGGAAGGAAGAAGGCCTTCCCTGTGATAGTGACAAATTACATTTTGTAACTGATTCTGTTTTTTCTTTTTAATTTTAGATATTAGAATAGATTTAAGGTTAGCCTTCTAAATCTCACTTTGATTCAGATAAAGTTTCTTAGTGGTAGAGAAAGGAATGGACTTAATTGCTACCTGGGAGGGTAGGGATGAAGAAATGGGGGAGTGCTCAGGGCTTTATGTGGTCTCCAGATTATTGTATTTCTGGAGTAGTTCACAGTATGCTCATTAAGAGTGTTTCTCATCCTTCATGTGCATAGTGGAGAAAAAAGTTAGCTTCCGATCCACAGGGGAGGTACAGTTCATAGTAATCTGAAGTTTTCCATAATTTTATCCCAGCTTGCCTATCAATGCTCATGATACCACTCCCCTCCAACCTACTTGAATTCAATATTCTAATGTTAGGCTCCCTAACCCATAATTTCCTTTTTCATTGAGTGAACAGACTAATATTTTAAGTCTCTATGTCACGCAAAGCCTTCCTTGATTCCCTCAGGCAAACTTAGGCATTTTTTATATTCCCAGTATACATTGATTATAGCGATTATTTTACTAAACTCTACTGTATCTTGGATTGACTTTTTCTTTATCAAATTAATCTCCTTGATGGAGGATTGGTCTTTTTTTCCCTTATATCTCTTTTAAGAAAATATTTGAATGTTTGAGTTACCATTCTGTCTTTGAGTAGCCAAATGCAGCTTACATCACCTTCTGATAATACAAAGATTAGGGTTTAGAAAATATAGTGAGCAAGAAAATAGTTGAAAGTGTCTTTCCCAGATCTATTTTAATAGATAGTTAAAATAAACTTTTTAGAGCTGTGTTAAGGCAGTCTTTAAAGTATATTCTCTCTTATCAACCCTAGAACTTGATATTATTTACTATGGAAATTACTGAAGGAAAGAGTAAGCTGATTTAATGACATCGCTCTGGTTATTTGAATTAACATTTCTGTAGAATACCTGAGAATATTAAATTTTATTTGGAACCATTGGTAATCAAAAAATGGAGTAGAAATTTTGTAAAACTGCATTGTAAATTCCTAGTCTAAAAATTATGCTGTGATTCAGTTTATGTCTCATATGTACATGGTAAAAAAACTGCAGTTTCTGTACCCATCAATATTATAATCTTTTACTGCTCTGATACATCTAGTGTAGTTTTTTCATTAGATTTGAAAAGGAAATTAGATAATCTGTTCATTCCAGTTAAAAAAAATCAACCCAAATTAAAAAGAGAATATCTTTGACATTTTCCCTTTCAGCACTCAGTGGGAACCCTTATGAAGCCACTCTGCAAACATCTTACGGAATTCTTTCTTTGCCAGAGTATGATAGAAAAACTACCCTGGGTGTCAGCATTTAAATAACACAGTACAACATTTCATAGCTTGTATACTGCATATTATTCTGAAACTACATACTTAGGTTTCTAATGAAACAATTTTATTTTTTTCTTCCATAGGAATATATTTGTCCCAGATGTGAATCAGGCTTTATTGAAGAAGTGACAGATGATTCCAGGTATTGTACAAGCCCATGAATAAATGAGGCATTGTTATAATAATTATTTTCTCTCAGCATGTACTGAATAAATAGAAAGGAATTTTTATAATTCAACTCTTTACTGAAAGGGGTGAGAGGAGAGGGAAGGGGAAGAAAAATGGAAAAATTTGGAAAGGGATGTTAGTGGGTGTCAGGCTTCTCTTTGTGTGTGGCATTCTTTGGAAGCCTTTATATACATATCAGTAAATCTGATAAGTTTTCATTTATATTCTGAGATTTTGGGGTTCTCTCAGATTATTGGTTGATTTTTAGTGACCACTTTGTTGCCCAAAGGTAAATTGCTATTGTACTTCTTTGATGGACTAGAGAGTGACTTCAGGTGAAGATATCTAATAAGTTAGATAGGCTCTCCTAGTCAGGGAAACTGCATTTCCTGATATTACTCTGCTTTGAGGAAGCCGTGGGTTGGGTTTGTTCTTATTAGGATTATTGTGGTCAAACATATGCCATTTTGCCACTGTAATAGTAATAATTGGGTTCATAGTGCTTGAAATTGGCTCTTACTGGTCATACTAAAGGTATATAGCCTATAAAAAGTGGAAATATTTCTGAAAGTGACAATATTACAATTCTTGATTAATATGAGTAAAACTGTAAAGAATAAAAAGTAGAGTAGCATTGATAGGATGTACTTCCTTGGCTAAATATAATGAATGGCATGTTTGCTGTTTTGTGGCTGTTTGGTTGAACTTTGGTTGAAGAAGTACTGAATGGATAAAAAGAATCTGTAATCCAAATCTTCTAATCTTGGAATGACTTTGGGAGTTTCAATGGCAGTAAATATTCCTTTACTGTTACTGTTGGCAGACTCTAAAGTTGAAGGTCCCTTCCACAACCAGGAAAAACTACACATTTTACAGTATGTATTATTAGTTTAACTTTATCAGTGATTGGTGGTCATATGTATAAATGAACTGGAGCTTCTGGGACAGTATATGGCATGGGATTTAGTTTGGTTCAAACATTTAAATGTTGATCTAATAATCTTGGCTTTAAATAATACAATACCAATTCTAAAACCTGTAAGATTAGCATGACAGCAAGATTAGCAATTTTGTATGGATGGCATGCTAACTTTGGTTGGCTTTTTATTTGTGCTATCAAATACTTATTTCAAGCTCTTATGCTCTGCATGTGTTAAATAGCATATTAGTTGTTGGGGGGCAACTAATGGGCTTATGTTTTTCTATGTTTTTAAATAGTAATCCTGGTTTCTTTAGTCTTGTATACAAAATATGGTTATAAATGAGGATAGTGATTAACTGCAGGATTAGTCCATGGATCCTGCTCTCCCTTGACTTAATTATTTTATTTATGCTCTTATAGGTCAAAAGTTGTCCTGTGTAGGTGCTATGGTAGCAAATACTCCATGTGAAGATTAGGTCTTCTGAAAATCAGTGTTTTAAATGGTTGAAGAGATTTTTTCCTTAGAATTAGTAGAAACAGCATGGTATTCCCTTCTATAAAGTTCATAAACATTTGCTGATGTGAATTTACTGTGGTAAGTAGTGGATGGTAAAAATTAACAAGAGGAAGATCTTATATGTAAACATGGGAAAATGGGCTCCATTTGCAACTAGATATTCATCTGCAGGGACATCTAGTAGGTTTTTTAAGAAAGCATTTCTCTGAACCATGTAGTTGTTTTTATTATCCTTTCTCTATGATTAGTTTTACCACTCAAAATGCAAAGGAATTTTAAGGAGAGGGAATGCTGAAGGAGTTTCAGGAGTAGAACCCCAAAAGATAAGAGTTGATAGCTTTAATTACCAGGGATGTTTGAATTCCTGAAATTATGTAGTTAAGAACCCTAGAAGCCTGTCTAGACTTGAGCAGTAAAATGGGTACACTGCAGTAGTTCAATTATTTGTTTATTTGCATAGATGTACCTGTACGTGTGAGCTTGTTCTATGTTTAAAGTGCTTTTTACCAGAGGATTTTTAACTTCTGAAACCAATATAGGTGTTAAATGATTTCTAATCAGAGAATGAGTCCTCAGAATGATTACCTAGAGAATGGCATTAGCTTTGCTCTTTCACTTTTGGTTCCAGACTAACCAGAGTGTGTTTGTTTCTTCAATGAGCTTAGTGCAGTGCCTGGACTGGTATTGTAATTCTGAAAATGAAAGCTATTTGAGTATTTTGTGGACATGTGAGTGAGTGTACATGTTTGTGTGCTTATTTGTGTCTAAAAGTGGTATCCAGCAGTTCTTGTGATCCTTTCCATCCTTTTCTCCCAAAGTGTTAGCCAGTTTCCTCTTGTCTTTGCAAATTTCATGGGGGTAATAGGATCTAATAGTTCTCCCAGTCTTTGGGACTAGGTAGCTGTTTTATTGTTTACACATGTGACATTAATTCAACAACTTTTGTTTTAGAATCATCAATATAGGTATGGCATTTTAGGGTCTTCAAAAGTGATGAACGCTCTGTATAATGTCTCACATAATAAACTATGTATGTATTTATGATATTAATAAAATACAGTTTTTACCCTCTGGATTAATTTTTGTTAAAGGGAAAGTGGTAGAAATGGATGAGACAAATTTGAGATATTTATAATATAAAGTAGAATTTATAATCAGAGCCACAGAGGGGTATGGAGAGGGCTCATTTGGTTGGTGAGTTCAGAAAACACTTAAGGGAGGAGGTAGCATTTGGGATGGGTCCTGAAGGATGTGTAGGATAATCAAAGACTAGGATAAACTATCAGAACAAGAAAAAATAGTGAGCCATTCTATAATTGGCAAATATAGTACCAGACCCCTTGCATTACTACATTTAATCATTTTCAAGTAGCCTCCAGTGTTGTGTTCATCTGGTGGTGGTTTTTTTTAGTGAATGTTATTTTGATAAACTCATTTTATTTCTTAGCCTCTTTGAGAATAAATGTTTGCTTTTCTTCTTTTGCTAGGTTAAATTTGAATTGTACTGCTGGCTGTGGGTCCTTCTTCTCTGTGGTGGCCCTGTCTCAGTTTTGCACTTGATTTAGCCTTGATTTTGTAGTTTGTTCTAATATTTTTCATAGATGAATCCACATGTCAGTTCTTTATAATTTCCTTTGTAGGTATCATGTTGGGATGAGTTACTTTTCCTTATTGGGCTTTGTTCTCAATGTACCATTCTATATTTAGCTTCTGAGAGAGAAGCTTGTTCCTGGGAATAGAATGACTACTCATTCCTTTTCCTCTTCAGTTTTTTAGGTGGTGGTGGCAGCAGGATAGACAATAGCACATCAACACATTTTGCAGAGGTAAGTTTTACTTTGGCTGTAGGGATTCTTTAGGTAGTGGGTGGGTGTTAAATCATGACAGATTTTTACTTCCCAGTGCAGCAAAACATCAGAATGAATAAGAAAAATGTGGGTAACAGTAGACCTTAGAAAAATCTGTTTTTCAATAGATGTGGCTTGCTTTGGTATGTTACTTTTGGGAAATCCTTGATTAGGAGATCACGATAACCTTCAGTTGTGCTGTTTTTAAACCTGGTGGTATTTACAATTCTGTTCCTGGCTACTTTATAGTGTACATATGGTATGAGAGTAATAAGCTTGTGTTGTTTTTTGAAATAATAGTGTTGCAGACTCGGCTTTTGTGGCATGACAGACAGATAAAGAGCAGGCCAAGATGAGTTGCAGTTGCAGTTACAATGAGGCACAGTATTCAACTTTGATGTACTGGTTTCTGGAGACTACCACCAGTGAACATGGTAGTTTGGTATAATTGGAATTAGGACACCAGATTAGGGTTAAGATACTTACTTGCCTTCCAGATCTCAAGGTGGAATCTCTAATTAATTTCCAGTTCATTATAGAAAAAAGCATCCATATTTTTTTTTGGAAAAAGTCTGAACTATAATTTGAAAATAATGCATTAGTTTGCATCTTTAAATACCATTTTATATTAAATTCAGAGTAATTTTCTTTTTTCTTTTTATCCATTGACTTAAAAATTCCTGTTCAGTTTTTTTTTTTGGGGGGGGTAGGCATTTAAACCATTTTTAAGTGTACAATTCAGTGCCATTAAATACTCCTTGGTTTTAATCATTTAGGGACTATAGCCCGTAAGGGATGGACCTCCTCAGCCTACAGAAAACATTGGTTTGCTTTTGCTTCTGTTGTCACACAACTTGGTTGGCTCCAGAAAACTAACAGTTGCTAAAAGAGAAAAGAAAAATTAAATCCCATAATCATAATTTATTTGTGTTTGAGGACCACATTAGTCTTTTCCAGAGATAGTTCAAGTACCTAGAAAGCTAGCAGAATTTTTCAGTTTTTATTTGTGTGTAAATTAAAACTATATTAGAAATGTAGTTGAAAATTGGTGTCCAATAAAAAGCCCATAAAACCCTAAGCATCTCTCTTTTATCCTCTTAAAATTATCTTAAAACCTATAGCCCCCCTGATTTTTATGTTGTTAGATTTATAGTCAAGAAACTTGATGAAGTGTTTGGATAATATTTCTGTTTTATTAGGGGTATTTCCTTTTACTTATGGCCTGTGGTACTTCTTAAAATCCAGTATTAAGTTTTTTGGTTAGCTCTGAACTGCCTTGGTACATGGTTTAATTAGAGGGTAATTCAAGACAGATCATGAATTTGAACTCTATTGTTATTTTCTTACTGTGATGGATTGAAAGACATTGAAAATTTATTCTGTTGTATGCCTGAAACCAATATAATGTACATCAACTGTATGTTCAAAAATATATATTTCTGGGCCTGGAAGGCTTTCTTATTTTAGTGTTTTTTCGCCTGTGTGTGCTCTTCCTGGTAACACAGATTGTCATTTACTGATTATACATATGCAGAAGAAACTTCATCTGATTTTCCTTGTTTTAGTTCCCCTTTAGCAAGTGGAAAACATTATTGGTCTGCCAGTTTTATAGATATGACTCACCAGAGAAGATGCATTAAGGAGAAAAATAAGTATATGTAGTCAGTGGCCTAACTTTAGTAATGCTAAATCCTGATGGCATGAGTTATCCTTCAGGTGTTAAAGTAATTTTGCTGAGTCATCGTCTGTGACTTCATGTTCTTTAGGGTTTATAGCAAGGGCATGATTATGCCCAGTGTTCACTTTGTAGAATTTCCTTGTCATCATGCCTGAATATTTCAGTGTTCTCCTTTTTTAAATAATACTTTGCATTTAAAAAAATAGAAAAATAATCTGTCTTTATAATAAAGAATTTGCCAGGGATTTAAAAAGAAAACAGCTTAGAAGGTATTTATTAAGTGCTTTTATACAGAACACTCTGCTAGAAGTAGGGGCAAGAAGCAAATGTCATTGTTGCCTTGCCTGCAAGGAACTTATAATTTAGTTGGTGAGTAAGTGCGTATGAAACAAATAAGAGAGACCAAGAAAAATTATACAGAAAGTATAAAACTTATTTGGGGTGTATGTAACAAGTACAGTAGAAGGGAAAGGTTAGGTAGGCTGCAGTCTCTGGGAAGGTTAATGTCTTTAGAAAGAGAGGTCAGATAACAGTGATATGCATGGAATCAGATTGCTTGAGTTGAAAGCCTGGGTCTACCACTTACTGGCTGTGTAACTTGTGCAAAATTACTTAGAATCTCTGTGCCTCTGTTTCCTCATTTGTAATTTGGGGAAAATAATACCTAGGGTTAGTGTTAGAATTGAATGAGTTAATGCATACTAGGTATGTAGGCTAATGTGTCTGCCACAGAGTGAGTGCTTAACAAATTTTAGCCATATTAAGACCTCATAGAGAAGGAAAAACAAAGCTTCATGTACTGGAGCCTAAAAGGGTGGGTGAAATTTAGATAAGCAAAGAGGTGGGAAAAACTATCTCAAGATACTGTTCATAGACTATAAGGCTTTATACCCATGTCCCTGGAAAAAACACTTAGAAAGAAAATTATATGTGGAAATTGAAGTGATATTTCTATTCTGTATTTTAGTTGGTAATTTCAGCAAAGGTTTATGCTCAATTTTGCTCTTTTTTTCTTTAGTCAGAGTTGCCTGTACAATGAAGAGATCATTTGCTATAATTAGCATTTATTAGTAGCTGAATTCTTAAAATACTAGCTATAAAGGAAGAGGTTTAGTTTAAGGATAACAAAATCAGTATTTTTTTTTTTATTGTGGATGTGGGATGGGAGATAGAATGGATGAGGATGAGGATGTGAGGAGAGTTGCCAGTTAAATGGGAGCTATGTTTAAGTAACGCGTGAAGGTCAGTGGAAAGTGAATCTAAAAATGTTGCTGGCAGTTGTAGAGAGAGAGGAGGTGGCTGGTCTGAAGTCCCTGATGATAAGCTGAGAAATTGAACCCATGGCTACCTGCATGTTTCCTTGATAACTTGAAAGCTTCTCATCATGACCTGGTACCAGTGAGACATCTGATCTGAGAGGCTCAGCTTAGCTGAATAGATTATTTCAGTGCAGGAACTCCCAGGTATGCACATGAGGTCAGGATGCTCTGGATTTATGTTAATTTAAATAAAATTTGTTTTGGTAAATATGCATTTTAATGGCAATAAAAAAAGTATTAAAAATATCTGGAGTCCCACTATTCTAAGAGTGCCCTTTCTCCATATATTTCCTTTCTGGTTTTGTCCTGAGGCATAGATATTGAAAGATATTATAACAACATTAAGAAGATTTAAAAATATTAAAAAATATATTAAAAAAAGAAAAATCTCTCATATTTTTATTAACTTATTTAACCTTTTTTCCATAATACTTTCCTTTTCTCACATGCAGGCTTCGTATAACTGCTTACAGATACATAGAGTAATACCATATTATATTTCTACTTTTTAAAATTTACTTAGGATTATGTCACAGATTTTTTTCCTTATCTCTCCGTAGTTGTAAGAATTATATATTTTATGACTTCATAAAATATATCTGTACTGCATTTATTAAGCTGTTCTCCTGTGTTAAAAATCTCTCATTATATGTGATGGCTGATTACTGATCATACCTCTTCCTTCCACCACTGGGTCTATAGCATATTAAGAAATAAAACATTGATGCCAGATTGATGGAAATAAAAATACAGCTTTTATTTAACTGAATTGGAGAACACAGTTAACCTGTGGTCAGATGGACATCCTAAATCTAAATAGGATGACCCTCCTGAGAATGAGAGGCTGCAGAGGAGGCATATGTACATACTTAGAACCACTTCTTATACATTTATGCAACTTCCTAATACATGAACTCCATCCACTGCGGAAATGTGAATTAGCAGACGTTAGGCTGTTGCTACTCACCAATCAGGCACATCACTTCTGATAGGGAATAGTAATTTGGAATGAATGAAGAGGTCAGAGGTAGAAATGAGAGATGTGATTCTTCCCTCTTTACCTTTGGGTTCAGTTATTTAAGCCTATAGTTTTAGTAAGGGTCTTAGAATTAGTAACTGTGGCATTTAGGGAAGGAGATCAGTAATCTGTGAGGGCCGTTTTGTTTCTGCCTTCATGAAGACCCACTCATGCTCTTTTCTGTATGTTCCTGGTACCTGTGGAAAAGGCTCTGAAATAATGAAGAACAATATAAAGTTAAATTACAGTGAACTTAAATAAAATTGTTGATATTCTACTGTTTTTGACCTACAAAAATGGCAATTTTAAATAATTACTCCTAGTGAAAAGAAATTAAGGATTTCAAACCACTGTTCCCCAAGTAAACCATTAGAAAGAAAATTATATGTGGACATTGAAGTGATTTTTCTATTCTGTATTTTAGTTGGTAATTTCAGCAAAGGTTTATGCTCAATTTTGCTCTGTTTTTCTTTAGCCAGAGTTGCTTGTATAATGAAGAGATCATTTGCCATAATTAGCATTTATTAGTTGAATTCTTAAAATACTAGCTATAAAAGAAGAGGTTTTGTTTAAGGATAACAAAATCAGTATTTTTTTTTTGTTTCTGTGTTCAGCATTTGTGCAGTTGCAGACTGGATTAATTCAACCAAATCTTCAGTGTGTTTCAGTTTTTAGTGTAAATAGTTAAAAGAGCTCATACCACAGTACCTGCTTCCAAAATCGGTTTGGATTCCTGAGTTTTCAGCAGTTTTTCAAGTAATAACTATTTTTCTGTAATTTAGTGCTTAAGTTCATACCCAGAATATGTTGCCAAGAAAAGATCATAACACAAACACAGTTATTAACTGAAGGGAGAAGAGTGACATAGAAAATATTGTTGGTGCCAGCCTTGTCAGTTTTTTGTTCAGTGAGTGTCAGTTGCCCAGAGTCCATGTTTTGTAAATTTTAACTCATTTGGGAAAAA